AAATGATAGGGAAAAATTAGCATCTCTTCTGGCAATATTTGTTTAAAATGTTTGGTTTCTAAGATTCAACGGATTTCAGTAACCTTTTAATTCTTGCATAAAAAATACCTTCTAGTAGTTTTGTTGTAAATTTTCTACACACTGGTTCATGTTTAAATGAAAACTATGCAAAGGTAAAACTATGTCAAAAATAGCCAAATTAATTTACTCTGAGGTCTTATTAATTCCATATCTAATTTATATATATTCAAGTTCCTTTCAACATAATGAAACAATACTGTAGCTGTTCACTCACTCTGAAATGGAGTGATGCAGTTTTTATTAGTTCTCTGACAGCTTCAAGGCAGCCACAGGTATCCGAGCACCCAGGCACCCCAACTTTGTAAACATTGATGACCTTGAGTTCGGCTTCTCTCAGGGTGGGTTTCTTCACTGGAATCCAAGGGTGCAGACTTAGACTCATTTGTCTGAAGTTCTTTCCCAAATGCACAAAACTGGCCAAAGGGAGGAGGGAAGACAGAATATTGATTCATACAGCTTTGTCATTAAGTCTTGAAAAGTCAACTCAACATCCAGTTGGCCTTACTTTTTGAGTTTTTTCACTCTCCCTTTGGGCTTCCTGGAATCACCATCTATCTTATTATCTCTTTGCCTTTCTCTTATCCCAGAATCCCTCTTCTTCATCCACATCTTACCCTCCTTCAAAACTTAAGCCAGATGCTCTTCTCTATGATGTTATCCTGATTTTGTCTACCATTTTTTCCTGTCATGCCTCTGTCACTCCCCACTCCATGCAGGTGGTCTTGTCCCTGTTCTTCCAACCTCCAGGGCATATGCTCTATGCTTAGGAGATGGCAGGTCATATTTCACTGTGCATTCTGACCTAGACACCATCCCATTCTTTGCATCTATCAAAAAGTTTGTGCCAGAACTGGATGTGGTAAGTGCTCAGGAAATGTGTGTCCACAAATGAGTGATATTTGTCATCAGTTTCGTACCACTGAACCCACGTGCTTTCTCACTCTCCTAGAGTCAGAGGAAGGGAGAACCATTCCTAAGCATACCTTTTTTAAAAAAAATTAAAACTACATTTAAAAAAATTTTATTGAAGTATAGCTGATTTACAATATTGTGTAAGTTTTAGATATACAGTATAGATATTAGATATTCAGCTTTACATACATGCATACATTTTTTCCAAGTTCTTTTCCTTGATAGGTTATTACTTCACACTACTATGTGTAAAATAGATGTGTGTTCAGTCACTCAGTTTTGTACAACTCTTTGCAACCCTATGTACTGTAGCCCACCAGGCTCCTTTGTCCATGGGATTCTCCAGGCAAGAATATGGAGTGGGCTGTCATACCCTCCTCCAATAAAATAGATAAGCATACTTTTAAAGCCAGGTGAAAATCTGAGTTATTAGAACCACCAAAGTCCATCCTAATAAATGTATCACAAAATACTTACTTTCCTCTTTAAGTAAAGACTTTTATTTGGTATTTTGTTCTACAAAAGAATCATTATCCCTAAATTTTGATATAAGGAGCTTTGCATATGGCATTTTTAGTAACTAGAAAGACATGACATTGTGGGCTTGTATTTTAAAATGTGCTTTAAGAGTAATACATATGCAATGTCTGCTAAACTGCATTTGCTGATTATTTGAAGCTCTTCTCCTTGAAGGCAAGGACCTTTTCTTACTCCCCCGTGCCTTTGGGTAAAGCCCAGCTCATCTGACATAGTATACTCACCTCTGTGTTTCCTTAAGACCCAGCTGCCCACAGCTTCCAAAGCAAGTCCAGATCACCCCCCTTCTTAGAGAGGGTGACAACTTCTGATGGCCCCAGCACACCCACAACTCCTGGGTGGTCTCTGTGGAGGACATGCTATTGCCCAGTTCGTTGCTGGCCTTTCCTTTGCTGTCTCCTCCTATTTCAACCACATTTTTATTTACCTGTCAGGCTGCTCCTCCCACATGACTGAGCTCCAAACCACCAGACACTTCATTGATCCCCAAAATGGGAATATTGACTTTTTTGTTATAAGGATTTTACTGACAGTCATTCCAGGAGAAATGATGAAAAGAACAGATATGGAACACAGGTTCTTACAAAGGTCTATTATTCCCAGTACTTTTGAGGTTCAAGCCCCATTAGAATTTTTCCCTCCACTGAATTAAAATAAACAAAACGATTGCTCTTCTTTCAGTACTCTGTCCCTTCTCCAAAAACAGGTCTTCATAAAAAGCCTTCTCCCTAATGTGCATGGTATTATCTTGGTCTGTTTGTGTCTCCCAGGACCCCCAGACTGACTGCTTCCATTTTCAGGGGACAGTGGACACTGTGTGATATTGAACCCAACCCAGGCTAATGTGGGCCGGCTGCTTTACCCTGAGTCCAAGCTGTGGTTGTTTCTCCAGGCAACTTAGGAAGGGCCAGGTGGAAGCAAGGTGATGCGTAACTCCTCCACTCCTTTCCCACCTTCTTAACTGCAGAGATGCAGAAGTGACCAGGCAGTGGTGAGACATCGCTGAGCGTCCAGCGTCACCTAGAGGACGTGCAGGAATGGGTTGCAGTAGCTGGCGGGGAGCAGTTACTCACTACCTCCTGGTGTTTCTCTCCCAGACTGCCCTCAAAAAGTAGAGGCCAGCTGGGGTCTGTCTCTTCACTTTCTCCCTTCAAACCCATCTTCTATTCTTTATTCTGCTGCTTCGGTTGGGTTTCAGAAATATGCCACTTTTTCACCTGGAAACCACTTTTATTTCTCATTACTTAAAGGGTAAAGGGGAAATTCTTTTAATAGCTCGACTCTCATCTGCTTCCCATTTATCCCCAGGTGTTCTTTCTTGTAATGATAAGCAGATGAGGATGACAGGGATGAGAATGACAGTCACCTCCTCTGTCTCCCCTGAGTGTGGGCCAGGAGTTGAATGTGTGCGTCCATTCTCTCCAAGACTTCAGTCCCACTCAACTAGTTTGCTCTTTTCAAACATTTCAGCCACTCTTCAAGGCTGTGCCTTGGTATTTGTCTGGCTCTTTGCCTGAGAAATTTGTACTCATTCTTTAAGGCCTAGTTCAAATTCATCTCCCCTCTGAAATCTTCCCTCTTCTCTCCTGTACTAGTTTTGATTGTTGCCATAACAATTTACCACAAACATAACGTTTAAAACAACACCCAAATATTATCTCACAGTTGGTTTGGTCAGAAGTCTGAGTACAATGGGGCTCAGCCCATTGGCTACCATGGTTCCTTGTGGTTGTAGGACTGAGGTTGTCTTGCTGGCTGTAGGCCAGGGCCTGTCTTTGCTCCTGGAAGCTGCCCCCTTTCTTCCCAGGCCTTGCCTGTAGTTCTCTCAGTCAAGGGCAGATCTACTCTTTATGCTTCCAGTTCCTCTGGGTTTCAACTTCTGCCGCATCCTGGCTTTCTCTTCTGCTTCAAGCGGGAGAAAATGATCTGCTTTTAAGGTCTCATGTGATTAGATTGGGCACACCTGGATAACTCAGGCTACATCCTCTGTTTGCAAAGTCCCTTTTTGCAAATGTCTGGGGAGAAAGGGGTGACGTCCTAATGACCACATCTCTCTCCTTCCCCAAGCATAATTGGATGGTAGGGCTTCCCTGATAGCTCAGTTGGTAAAGAATCTGCCCACAATGCAGGAGACCTGTGTTCAATCCCTATGTTGGGAAGATCCCCTGGAGAATGGAAAGGCTGCCCACTCCAATATTCTGGCTTGGAGAACTCCATGGACTTATTTATCATTGGGGCTTCCCTGATAGCTCAGTTGGTAAAGAATCCATCTGCAATGCAATAGACCCTGGTTTGATTCCTGGGTTGGGAGGATCTGCTGGAGAAGGGATAGGCTAGTCACTCCAGTATTCTTAGGCTTCCCATGTGGCTCAGCTGGTAAAGAATCTGCCTGCAATTCAGGAGACCTGGGTTCAATCCTTGGGTTGGGAAGATCCCCTGGAGAAGGGAAATGCTACCGACTCCAATATTCTGGTCTGGAGGATTCCACGGAGTGTATAGTTCATGGGGTCACAAAGAGTCCGATAGGACTGAGCGACTTTCACTTTCACCCAAACCATGATGGAAATATCTCTGAGTCTTTTTTGGTGCCTCTGTGCCAGAGTCTGATGGCCACTGGCAGTTGATCGCCCTGCCTGCATCTGGGTCCCTTTGGGGTTTGGGGCCATCCTGCCCACACTCCTGTACAAGCCCCTACTCTTCGTATTGGCCTTCTTCTCTCCCCTCCTCGCCTCCTGAACCTCCCCCTTAAGGCCTAGCCTCAGACATGCTCCATGAAAGCTTTGTGGCAGACCAACAAATAAAATGGACCAGTGGTATCATCACGAAAGGTCTGAAGCTATATTTAGCACAGAATAAAATGTTGTTTTTTTTTTAAGTTTGGCTCCAATGTGAGAAGGGACTTTAGCCTATCTTAAATATAGCAGTTAAAAAGGATGTCTTCTGCTAGGACCAGGATTGAGTGAGGAGATCCACCAGAGTCATGAGGAGTGTCCATTCATCACAGTACTCACTTGTATCTTCATGGTAATTTGGGTATTTTTGTTATCATCAAAAAAGGGGACAAATTGACTTCCAAAGAAGAATAGGAGAGTATAGTTTCTATCCAAGTGTATAGTTGTGGGAAAAGGTTATAATACCTAAGTCAACATCTTGATTAGTACTTTAATTTTGTCTTCAATAAGGACTTGTATCCATAATGTGAAATTTCAGTTTGAAATGGACCACCTTATTTTATCTAATTTTTCTATGAGACTTATTAAATTATGGAAATCAAGTTTCTAACTTGCAGTTAAGCCCACAAAATGACACTTTACACTAACACAAAATGCTGGGTTTGCTAGATGTGCAGTTTCTCACCGTATATGTGACCTGAGAGAATGACACAGGTCTGTCCTGGGTTTGCATGTGGAAGTTAGGTTTATTGGCATGCTATGCTCGCTCTCTAAGCATGTGCATTTCCTTCCAATCAGGTGGATGCTCATGGAAATATTCTGTTAACATCGCTGGAGGTTCACAATGAGATGAACGAGGTTGCAGGAGGCGTTGGCGATGCCCGGAATTCAGCAAGATCCTTTGACAACTCAGGAATCCAGTACAGGAAACAGAGCATGCCTCGGGAAGGGCATGGGCGACACATGGACAGAAGCATCCCGCACAAGAAGACCCATCTACGGAGGAGGTCTTCACAGCTCAAAATCAAAATCCCTGATCTAACCGATGTGAATGCCATAGACAGATGGTCCCGGATCGTGTTTCCATTCACTTTTTCTCTTTTCAACTTAGTTTACTGGCTGTACTATGTTAACTGAGTGACTGTACTTGATTTTTCAAAGACTTCATTTAACACTGAGTGAAATATTACTCTGCCTGTCAAGTTTTTATACCTGTACACACACACACAGACACACACACGCAGATACACACATATATACATACGCAATTGTATATATATGTGAACTTTCTCAGCATATATATAAAATACACGTGTATATGAGGATGTATGTGTATATGTTTATACACACAGGTATAAGTACCCATGTGTATGTCAGACAAATACACATACATATATACATTTTGCAGCTATGGACAATTCAATCACAGGATGCATATTAAAGAAAGTTATAGTTTTTTTCTTTTTTAATTGAAAGGGACAAGCATTGTCTAAATATTATGCCTTGAGAATGAGGGCGCGAAACACAATATCATCCCAAAATGTGTCTTTTATTATCATAAGTTAGATGTTTTAGTTTAAAAATCAGGAAGAAACTTATTCTTCAAAAACTCATTCAGTGGTATTGCTAGTTTAAAATAAGTCACACTTCATACCCACTCTTTCAGTTTATTAAGCAAAGGCTTTTTGGCTTTCTTGGCGATGGGGTTTGCTTTCGTGGGGCAGACTTTCTCTGTACTGGTTCCGTGGGTGCAGTGAGCCTCTGGTGTGTGCTCACCTGTTTCTTAAGCATAGGCAGAGCCCACGTTGATGTCTGCACGTCCATCTTTTGAAAGCCCATCGGGGGTGGATGGCATCACACTGTAAGTACTCTGCTGTACAGTATATTTCTTTGCTCACTTGGAGTAGATCCAGCTTACCCATCTTGTGGGACACGGCGGCACATTTCGGCAATGTTGAGTTGACATTTCAATCACTGAACACGTGCTCCACATCTCTTATGGATTGCTAGGCCTGGTATCTAATGGAAAGCTTAGACGTCTCAGGTTATTTGTTACTCTAAGGTAAAACCACCTAGGATGATTTTCCCCCTTGTTTTTAAGTTATCAATCACTCTTATAACATTGTATGTTAATATCAAATATATTTGCATAATATGCATATATATGTATATTTACCAAGATTTTGTTTCTTATGCTTGCTATCATGGCAGCATGCGATGTCATATTTTTCTTTCTGTGATGTAACTACTTTCTGTTCTCTAGAATTAAGATTGAAGTGAAAACACTTCTATTCAATTTCAGAAACCAAGAAACATCCTCATGCTTTTATTTCTGTATCTGACATGTTTCACAAGCACATCCAACTACTCCTAGTGTAACTAGGATGCTGCAGGAACACGACCAGTCCACACCATGCATCACCCAGGGACCCATGACCGTTCTCTTGAGGCAAAGGAGAGCAACCTGACAACAAACACAGTCACCTTTGGTTCCTTCCAACCCACAGCCTCATCAGTATTTGGACTTTTTAAAGCTCGTAGAAACAAGACAAGGTGCACCGGTTTCATAGATGCAACCTTAACTTACTATTTAGATGAGATCTTTCTAAAGAAAAAAAAAGAGATGATATATTTTTTGTAAACAATATTTCTATCACAGGCATCCATAAACTGAAATGACTACAGTTGTGCAAATAGATGTCACAGTGAAGTTACGCATTTGGAGAAACAAAAAAGCAAACTATTCAGGAAAGAACTGCTAAATTGATACTTTATCCCAAAATGCCACATAGCCTCACCCTCTCTGTTCTATCCAAAACCAGTGACCAGAGTCTTGCCCAGTACTCTCAGAGCTGGCCTCAGTTTCCCCACAGACAGGGGCTCCATCCCCCCTGCGGGGCTTTGTGCCATAGGCTATCCCCGGGAGCTGACCACTATTTGATTTTCTTTGGCGGCTGATGACCTTTAATCTGTCAAGTCTGTAACAGGTCAAACACACCACAAAGTCTCACGCTAGAAGCAGTGACCAATTTTATACCCTTTCTTCCCTTTCATTCTTATCTTTTTCTTCAGTATCTTCTTCCAACCACTGCTCGCTGGTTTTACTTTTATCTGGAAACAAGTGTTTTCTTGTTCCTTGGCTTTTTTCTGACAATTTTTTCTTGGACAATAATGGGGGATCCTAAAAGTTAAACAGATTGGGAAAAACCTTGTAAGTGACCTTATCATTGTTAACATGTTAAAGAGAAAAAAAAAAAAAGGACATTGTGTAGACCTTATCCCTTTCAATACTTCAGGTATCTTTTTCTGTATCAGTGATTCAAGGAGTGAGGTCCACATGCAGAAGAGGGACCCTAAAATACGCATGAACATGGACAAAAGTGTCAGCGGTTGATTTAAATGTCCAGTTTATGTATTCAGAACTGTGACATTAGTTCTACCTGGGAGAAAAGTGATTCAAACATTTTTGATGCATAGTTGAGGTACCCAACTGTCAAAGGCAGAGACTCCATGGGGCTCAGAAGAGCTGCAGTCTACGTCCCAAGGTTTTCTGGATATAAATTTGCATGGTATAGTCATAATAGCTTTTGAGCTTTTTATATGCATTTGGCACCAAGACTGGGATCCACAACTTTGTAGACACTGCAATGATGTTAAACATAATAGCTATACTATAAATAGTGTTTGTAACTACACATACACACACACAAACACACACAAATACATACATATATTCTGTAAAAAAAAAAACTTTTTGAGATCCTTGAGTATGTGTTTGCTTTACTTCATTTTAGAAGAAAATTACTCTTCTAATAAAATTATTTTATAGCTTCTCCATTTTTAAAAGTTGTGAGAAATATTAAGAAGCAGAACTGTGTGCTGCAGGAGCGAGCCGAGGTTGGTTCTCTGTCCTGTTACACTGTCCTGTCATGACTGCACAGTAGTTCCTGGAGCCAGTGAGTGTGGTGTGTGGATGACTCTGAACCCGGCCCCTTGACGTAATGTGAGATGGTTGTTGCCCTCATCCAGACTGCTTGAGTAAGGAGAGAAACGTTGAAATTGGACTCTAATGATATCTCTTTCTCACAACTGAACATAATAAAAGGTTAATTTTCTAAATAGTCCTGTCTTTCCAAAAATGCTTCACAGGGGCTCAAAGGTTATAGGAGAATCTTGTTTTAAGAGTTTGTTATTGCCCACATTCAAATATACTTGAGACAATTCCAGAGCCCTACTACATAAAATTCCTATAGAGAAAGATGGATAAGACCGAGGAATCTTTACAACAAGTGTTGTTCTTGTCTACTGGCCCCAGGACTGTGGAGGGGTTTCATTGTCTATATCGTGACCCACTTGTTTCCCTCTGATCTAAGTGACCTTGGTGTATGTCATGATAACGTTCTGTCCCATGTATATATGCAGTACCTAATGCCATGTGTTCTTAATGCCAGCACTCAGAACTCTGGACACGTTCAGTCATTGACATCACCACTTCTCCCCATCCAGCTACGGAATTAACTTTTTCACCAAGGAGATCATCCTCTCAGAGGTGATACCAGTACGTGGGGACTGGTTTTAAGGGGACAGGCCCACTACACCTGTAGGTGTTCATTTTCAGCCTCTTGTAGAGAATCCCATTGGTGTTTTTCCCACAGTGGTGTCTTCTGAAAAAAGAACGATGTGTCCAACTTTGAATCTCCTGGCTTGAAATCCCATAATTCTTACTTTAGGTTTTCACCTGAAAACCAGTCATATTTCTGGTCATTTTAATGTAAAAAAGACTGATCAGTGAAATATTTTATTACTTGTGGAATAGAGTCCGGCTCTCATTTTATGTGAGCTATGGGTCAGGGGAATTATGGGGCAAAGAACTGCCTAGGTGGATTAAATTTTCCCAGGACACAACTAGTGTGCCTTGGATTGATTATTACCTCTCTACTGCATTGAAAGGTGCCATGTTTTCCTGAAATTCCCAACATCTGGGTAAACAGTGACCTCCTGGAGAGTGACTCATTTACCATGTCTCTCCCTAGGGTGAGCACCAGAAACAATTTTGTCATTCTTGTCTCTTATTTCCATTTCACGAGTCAGTGAGTGTGTTCAAGGTAAGTACAGGATTATTCTAGTAGGAATAGGCAATTGCTGTCATGATCAATTCCCACGTTTACTTCATTTCATTGTAAAGATCACTTAAAATCCAATTTTGCTTAAGCACATTGATGTAATTTTGGGGGTATTATTTGACATAAAAAAACAGCAGAATTGAGTGATAGATACAATATGAAACTTGTTGATGAATGACTTCAAATTTATTAAAAAAGGACTAACTGACTTCAATATGAAGGCTGATTTTTTTTCTTCCTTGTCTGTCTATTGTTGAAATAATGTCGTTATTTTAATTCTAGGTATTTTCAGTTGACATGCCCATTTCAGTTATTTTGAAAGTAAGAATAAGTTCAAAACTGACTAGGTATGAGACCAGCTGAACCATGAGACGTTTTTTAAAATTCACAATTTATTTTGAATGTCAAAAGAAAACTAGACACACGGAGATCCACATTGTTCCTGTATTCAAAAAAGCGTTTTCAGAGATTTATTTTTGTGTTAAAGGCCGGGAAACGAACTGCCAGTGAGCTCTGGCACAGGTGGCATTGATCCCTACTCTTTAGTTTTTCAGAACTAAAGGGCGATTTCCCTTGTTTCCTCTCCAGTAGGAAAGTAGTAAGCAATGTCTCTGAGTGAGTGAGTGAGTGAATGAATGAATGAATGAATAAAGATCCTCAGACACCTCAAACCAGACAAAACGTTTATTGACAAACACATTTCTAGGCCCCTGAAAGGCTGCTGGCTCACGTGTACACACTATAAAAGGAAAGTGCACCACAGCCAGTTAGGGTTTAATGGAGGCTTAGCGTCCAGAGTGCCTAAACAAAATAAAACATAATCTCTAATAATTCTTTACATGTTGTGTTTTCCCTTTTTATCCTATGGACAAGTTTTTTAACTTCCCTCATCTACTGTGGGGCCCTAACATGGCAATATTTCACACTAACTCTGTTGGGACTGTAACTTCACTAGGGTACATTTCTCACTTCATTAGGCTGCAGCACTAGTCATTTATGCCAAGTTTAAATTAC